TAGAATTTAAAAGGTTACAAAACTCGCTTAAGCAAATAAAAAAATGCTTAAGCCATTAAACGTGCTTAAGTGAATTATATTTGTTTAAGTGCGAAAGATTAGCTTAAGTGAGTATTGTTGGCTTAAATAATCTCAATTTGCTTAAGCTACTTTTTTGTCTTTTTTGCACGAAAAATGCGTAGATTTGATGTATACTCTAATAAGTATTTGATGAAAATTATTTCTCTAAAGAAAAGCATCTTAGAGGTAGAGGGATCAGAACATCATCTTTAAACACCATATTGGAGGCCATTTTTCATACTTACAACAAACAATTTTCTCTCATACACCAACAACCACAACTTAATGATGTTAGGTCTGCATTTCCATTTAAAAATATTCCTTTTGTTTGTTCATAAGTTGATTGAACGAAAGTTATGTTAAAATGTAAAAGTATTCCTTTTCATTTTTATTAGAAAATATGATGACAAATTTTGCAGAATGATAGCCAAAAATTAGGTTAAAGTTTGAAAGTGGAGATGAAACATAGGAATTTGGATTAAATATGACAGGAGGGTAGGTTTTGACATTAGAAAGCAATATTTGAATAAGCGAAAGGAAGATAGTGCTATAATTTATGTAAATATGTTTGTTGTAAAGAGGAGTTTTGAAAAGAAGATAAAAAAAATTCACAAGTTACAAAACATACAGCTAAGACTAGAACTAATTATTACATAAGAATTGGAGTGTCTTTAGGAAGGACAAAAAATTTGTTATTCATGAGTTTGTAGAAGAACGTAATCACTCATTACAAGCTGAGGAGAAAATGCACATGCTTACTTTGCATCATAAGATAACCTCAGTTTAAGTATATGAGATTGATATGGCTAAAAGTTCTGGACTGCATTAGAAGTTATCATATCAACTTGCTAATACACTTAACGGGCATATAGCTAATGTGGGTTAAACTAGTTTGGATACAAAAAATTACCTAAAAAAAAGATATGGAGAAATTTGTTATCTAATACAATATTTTTAGTGATAATTATTAGATAATTCATTATTATTTCATGTATACCAAATAGATGTGAATGAGCAAATAACAATTGTATTTTGAGCTGATGTAAAGATGTCTTTAAATTACACATCTTTTGGTGAAGTTATTTCCTTGGACACTACATATCACACCAATCGTACAAATAGGCCTCTTGTATTATTCTTAGGTTTAAACTATTCTAGGGTGCAATGATCTTTGGTACAACTTTGATTTATGATGAGACAACTAATTCATTTAAATAATTGTTTGACACATTCTTATAAGCATACAATTAAAAAAACTAATAACAATATTTACTAACCAAGATCAAGCAATGGTGAAGGCCTTCATGGAAGTCATGCTTTAGACACATCATGTTTTATGCACATGACATTTGATGTAAAATGAAATAAAACACCTTAGTAATTTGATAAAATGTGGAAGTCATTTTTAAAAGATTTCAAAAGATTCATATTTGGCTTTGATTTAAGTTTGAACAAGTTTAGACCAAAATTGTTGACGAATACAATGTTGCCGATAACAATTAGATGCAATCAATATATGCAATAAAGAAAAATTGGCATTGTGTTACATGAAGGAAGTGTTCATACTTGGGATGTGGAGTACTCAACTAAGTAAAAGATTAAATTTAGATTTTAAGATTTGTATGAAGCCTGGTGTGACGTAAAACAATTCTTTACATATTTTGAACATGTGATTTAAGACAAACGTTACAATGAGCTAATTTGTGAGTAAGAGTCTCATCATAAGTTAGTAATGTTGAGATATGAGATATCTCTCATACTAAAACAAATGGACAAAATTTACACACATGCTATTTTTAACCTATTCCAACAAGAGTTTACTTCATTTTTTGTCAAAAATGAATGAATTCTCCCTTTGTTTGAATATGTCAATACTACGATTAACAAAGACAAGCCATCAAAAGTATTATTTGATCATGCTTCAAAATCTATATGTTGCAATTATATAAAATTTGAATCATTTGACATACTTTGTTCCTATGCATTGAAAGTTTTTAAAGCAAATGATGTCAAGATTGTCTAAAAAATACATCATTAAAAGATGGATAAGAAAATTTCGTCCTGAAATTATACACATTGTCAAAGAAATAAAGGTTGAGGTGATCATAAATTTGCCAATACACAACTTACTGACAACTAGCTTTTAAAATGGTTAGACTCACATTTAAAGTATCCAGTTTAGAAAAATACTCTCACTTGATGAATGTGTAAACGTGGTGTCTCATCAAATTACACAACTTTGATTAAAAGAACAAAATAGTGAGAGTCACAATAATAATGTCCCCGCATTGGTCATCAATAAAAATACACAACTAAAGCGTATTAAGCACCGTACATGCATAAAGAAGAATATGTATAGACAATTCAAAAGCTAGCTGACCTACAAGAAAAACAAAAATATAATGGTCAAATAAAAAGTTAATCACAAAACCAACATTTAGAGGTACATTGCTTAATGCATGTATCAATACATAAGTCGATTTATATATTTTTATTAATCATGTGTGCATTAATTTGTCAATATTTTAAGAATATCAACTAATCCCTTCTGAATCCTATGACGTCCATTGTTCAGCACCTCATCGTATTATCCTTCTAACATTTTTAACAACTAATTTATTTTTACTATATTATTGACGGTAAATTTATAAAACATAAATTTATAAAGTTATATTTTCTTACTTTATTATATAATATTTTTTATTAATTAACTTTCTTTTTTTAGGAATCTTTAGATGACACAACACGTTCAATCTTTGATCATCCTTAATGTTCATGTAAATAATGTAAATGTAATTTATGTTTTATAATATAATGCATATAATATATTGCTCGCATTTACTTATGTTAAATGATATAATCCTGCTCTATAATTTTTCAAAATTCTGCATTATTCGTTTAAGCAAACTAAAATTTGCTTAGGCACGCATAATTTACTTAAACTATTTTTTTTTCACTTAAACTAATTTTCTCTTGCTTAAGTTGTTTGAGACTTGCTTTAAGTGAAGGAGTATTTCTAATCAATGATGCTCTATGTCTAATTTTTATTTAAGATATTTGTAATTCATTTAAGTAACTTATAATTTATTTAAGCAAATTTTTTTCACTAAAGCAAGTTACCATGTCTTATAGGTAATTTTTTTGTCTAATTTTTGTTTAAAATTATTAAAGTTCACTTAAGCATGTATTTGCTTAAGTAGCTTTTAATCTTGTTTAATTGAAACTTAAAAATAAACAATTTATTACAAATTTGTAACACCCTTGATTTATAGTCAAGGGACAATATTTTTTGGTTAAAATTAATGACAGAAACAGACATGCATCTGCTACAATTCTCCGGGTTTCTCAACCAGGGGACGCAGTGCTGCCAATCAAATGCCTTTTCAGCGCTTAGTGCAAAAACTTTCCAGTCATGGGAAATGAAGATTCATGTATAGCCTATAGGGGTTCGACAAGGAAAGGAAGGATATTGCGTTATTAAAAAATAAATAAATAATGAATACCCAAAATGGTCCCTAAATAATTTTGACAGACCCAATTTATTTCTTTAAAAAAATAATTATAAGTCACTAAATAGTACATGAACTTTTTTGACATTAATCCTTCTCTTAACGGGCTTTCTTTTGTGTGTATGATTTTTCTTTTCAAAATTCAAAAAATATAAAATTTTTGACTAAATTATGAAAATATAATTTTTCTTCAAAAATTCTACGATATTTAGCCAAAAATTATCAATAACGACTTTTATTACTTTTTAATATTTTTAATATTTAATTATTATTTTTAAAATTGTTATTAGGGACTTTTGACACACTCACTTTTTCTAAACTTCTATACCTACACTAAAAATTATTATTGACATATTTAAACTATATTTTCGTAATTTTTTTTAAAAAAATCATATATTTTATATATATAGTTTATAAAAACCATATATAAAAAAATAATTCTCTGTTAACATACTTCTATTTTATTTATGTGGCCTGTTAAATAAATGAGATGACATCATCAATTTTTTACCTGATAAAATAAGTTTTTTAAAGACCTATTGTTTTAGTCAATTTAATTTTAAAAAATTGGCTCTAGTATATGTAAATTGACTCCAATCAATTTTTAGGGACCAATTTAGCTGAAAAAAACAGGCTTTTACAAAAATTATTTTATAGGATGAAAACTACATATGTCGTCTCAATTAATTAACGGCTTATGAAAGGAATTTGTTAAGTTAATCATTATTCTTTTAAATAAAAGGACTAATTTGTCTCCTGAAAAAAAAAAATCATGAATAATTTGGGTATAACATTTTTTTTAGAAACTAATTTGCATGCTTACAACAAAAAGAAAACTGATTTATTTGGATTGAAAGGAAGATTCGGCTTGATCACATGACATTGTAAGAAAGCAAATATATAGCATTTGTCCACTTTTGTTTTTCTGATTAATCTAAAACCAGATAGTGTAAAATCTTCCAATTCTTTGAGGAATAAACTGTTGATGGAGATAATGACCAGACCATGAAATCTACCCCCTACTCTCAATGATTGCATTAAGCTTGTTTATATGATGTTTCAACGCTGCCGTGAGAGCACTAATGGCTCCAATTTCCTTTGAGAAAATTTGCATCATATAATCAATTTGAGGTGTTGTAAAATGTGAGATTTCCCTTTCCGCAAAAAAAAAAAAAAAGAATTGAGGCTACAACGTCATTGTTGCAATTAACTACGGGAAATTTATATGAAGATTCCCAATTTGTTTTCGTAATTGTAACAAGGTATAGGAGTTACAAAGATTGGGAAATATTGAGGTTGCAACAAATTGTTGCAGTTAATTAATTATATACAATTTATTTTTTCTATTTAAAAGTAGAGAAAGCTGCTCCACTTTGGCTTCCATAAAAGCTTTTTTAATTTTATTTTAAAACTTCTCATTTTCTAAGTGTATTTAACTTGATTTCCACTTCTTTTACGAGAGAATAAAAGAAAGGACCGACACTATCTAAATCAGTATTCTTTCTCTGTCGGTACACAAGTTGATAATGGAGGTTAGGCGTGGGGACTCCTCTGGAGAGGCAAACCAGTGTTGTGTACGTACGGCCAGAAATGGAGCATTAAATCCCCACCATGCAGGCATTATGGTCTTTTCCTTGTATTATCTATCCCCTGATTGGGTATTGGGTGTTGGTTCAATATTTTTCTGAGACTAAACGAGAGGTTTGGTATGACTGTTTTCAATTATACTTAACGTCCAACTTCGGGATTCGCTAGACTTTAGTCAAACTCCTGTTTCGCTGGTTATATCTTCTTTCAAGTCAAATAATTGAAAAAGAAGGGGGAGATGGTTCATGATTTCACAAAACTCTTGCCCTCATCTCTCCTAGTTATTCACTTATTATAAAATTAATGCGTGTTTAAATTCACATTAAGATGATCATGGTTCCCATGTTTCCGAAGACACAATCATCTTCCTCACTACCAATTGGTCCATGACCAAAATTGAAAGCAGCAAAAAAGATTTGCAGGTTTGAAGAGGAAGCTCGGTCCTTAATAACAGCATAATGGTCAGAATCTCATGAAAATGTAGATTATACACGCTCAGAAGTTGGGAAGAAGCGCGAACGCTCAATTTGAGAACTTGAGACGGAGATTAATCAAACAGCATCTGAAGGAAATTCAATTTTAACAGTCAACAAGAGACAACTTTCCCAGAGAATTAGAGTTGGTCGGGGAGTTTGATGAGTAATACTAGCCAAGAAAGAAATTCAGTGGTGTCAAAGATCTAAAGCAACCCGTGTTGTGCAAGCTATATAAGTATTGACATAGACAAATACACACCTGATATAATTCATGTTAACACGCTTAATATTGACACTAATGATCATTAATCAGTTATACTTTGACAATAAAGAGAAAATCAACACAGTTTCTCACACTTTAACAAGGGAAAAACGTACTAATTATCCTTTCTCGTCTCTCCCTAAACCCCAAGACACAAACACACAGACACATTTGATATAAAAGAAATTGAAGATATCTATGGATTGGTTATAGAACAGGGCATGATGATATCATGTCTCAACATGCACAAGTTCACTTTTTAAGATGAGGAAAACAAGCATAGACATCAGATTTAGGGTGTTTGGCTTCAGCATGCTCCCTGCACTTCACTTCTGATGTGGTGCAAATAAATGTTTGCATGCACACCTTGCACTGCAATTACAATCACAAAACTATAATCACTGAAGGGCACTCACGCACTATAATCAACTCTTCAAATGTACAAAGATTTTAACATTTATCATTCATTACGCGTATATGTAAATAATCAAACTAGAGAAACAAATAGGCCACACCAAACAAACATATCAAACCAACTGCATTCTGCTAACAGAATATACACTTGTCTAACAAAGAATCAATCACTAAGTAATTTTACACAATAAACTTTGATGTAGCTAACACTCCTTAACATATATTAGCAAGCAAACAGAACACAAAACAAACATTGATGAATTTCAGCATTGAAAGACAACGGCGCTACTCAGTTAGAGAAAATTTTCTAAAGGAAAGAAATAAAAAATTGTCAACTAAGCATGTAAGCATTAAAAACTTTAGCACCTCACAGGTGGGGTTGTAAACACACAACATATGACACAAATAAATTAAAAACAAAAACAAAAAACAAAGGGGAACCAAGATCAAAACACAGAACTATTTTTTGGCTGCAAATGAATATGTGAAATTAGACCTGGATGGTCATGGCTTTCTTGTTTGATTCGAGTTGGCTTCCTGCACAAACCAAACAATTATTAAAATGAATAACCAAAACAGATCTATAAAACGGGGTTTCTAATTTTGGATGAAAAGAAAGAGTGACCCTTTGATCCAGCCTTCTGCTTCTCGAGATTTCTCTCGCGAGCCATCTTTGACTTTTGACCGTTGCCTCCACCCATGTCTCACGAGAGACCCAACAAAACCCTAATTTTCTCAGATTTGAGATTGAGAGAGTGAAGTTCTGTGTGTGGAAGAAAGGATGAACGGCGAAGGATAGATGGATATATATGGGACTTTCAAAGTAATTTCCTTCGTCAAACGCGATTCTTCCATCATTAATTACTATTTTGTTTAGTGCGCTTAATTTTTGTTCTTCCCCTACTTAAGACCAATTTACAGGTATTAGGATCCTCACGTGGCATCTGTGTCAGCACACGCAGGCCACGTAACTGTAGCACGGCAATGTGGCAGCTGGATGCCACTACTCACTACTCATTCCTCTCTACCCACTACTGTAATCCTTTCTTTTCTAGAATTTTCAGCGCTTCATTAAATGTATGCTGCTTAATTTCTAACACTTATTTATTAAAATAATATTTTGTTATTTAATAAAATAATATTATTTTAAAATTATTTCTTTATCAAGAATGATTTTTTTAATGAGTAATAAATATTATATATTTAAATTATATTTATTTTAAAAGTTTTACTAATTTCAATTTTTAGGATTAAATTTAAATATTTATAAATAAAAAAATTTATAAAAAAATATATAATTATTGTATTAAAGTTATAAAAATATAATAAATATTTTTTTCTAATAAAATGTTACTATTATTAACTATTTATCTTTAATTTTAAGAGCTGAAATTAATAAAATTTTTATTTTAATTAAATAAAATTAAAAAATTTTGTAAAAATTTATAGCTAAATTTATAGTTAACTTATTTAAAGTCAAACTTAATTTAATCAACTTAAGTAACATGTTAAATTTAATTTTTTTATAAAAATTTTAATTAATTAAATAACTTAAATTTGAACTTTAAAAAATATACTAAACTTAATAAATTAATTTATTTAAGATTTATTAATTTTATAACAATATATAAAATATTTTTATATATAAATCACAGTAGACTTGAACAGAGTTTTGATTCTTGTAAATGTATCACTTTTTTTTTACAAGTTTTTATAAAAAACATTTATTAAGTTAATTTTTGGACTTAGTTTTTATCAGAACATTATTGTCATATATTGTCATATCATTTAACTTTTTAATGTTTTATTATTTAAAATTAATATTTATAAATAAATCTTTGAAATATATTTTAAATATTTAAAAAAAATCTTCTATTTTTCCTTCTCTTTTAATTATTGTGAGCACTCATCTCTCGTTAAATCTATGCTATTCTTTCACTTTTAGGATCAAGATATGGAAAAATATGGAAGTCACTTCCACCAAATAATACTTTTGATTATGAATCTCACACAATCCAGTCATATATAAGATTAGTAAATTCTTTGTTTATCTTAAATAAAAAGCCATTTGCTAAGGGGACAAGGAAAACCACAAAATTTTAACTCTTAAAAAAAATTCACAAACACTTGAATAACACTTAGATACTGTAGAATAATAAGTGGTACTTTCTTACCCTGATAAACGATGGATTACGTGTAGAATCTTTGCTCCTTCTAATTTGAAAAAAAGACATTATCTGAAACATTGAAGTACCACCTTCAAACTCCTTGGCCAATGTTCTCACTTCAAACTCCTTAGAAGTAACATCTAAAGGTTTTTCTCTAAGGTTCTCTGGCTTAAGAACAAAAACCCCTTGTCTGAAATACAATGAATGATCAAAAGGGTAAGCTTGTAAACTCCAAGAGCTTAACATTTTATTGAAGATCCATCTTTATGAGAAGATAAGTATACATAATTATTGTCCAATCTCAATTGTAAAACTTTAGCTAATTTTAGGTGGTATAAAAGGACTTATTACATTTATGGATATTGTTGTTATTTCTCATTTTAAACTAGACTCTAGTATGATCCCATTTCAAAACAGGAACATGTATAACAAAACTATTAGAAAAAAAAAAACCATGCTTCAATCCTCATTAGCAACAATCTTATCAAACCTTTCTCTCATATTACCCTTCTTCCAAGTGTGAAAATTTTATTTAAAACCTAAATCTTAAAGAACACACATATTTAGACAACTAGCAAAAAATTTTTAATAAGATTAAAACAAAATTACTTTTTTCGTCCTTTAACTTTAGAGTAAAATTCACTTTTGTCTTCTAACTTTTTTTTTGGTTCAGTTTATTCCTCTAACTTTTAAAAAAGTTTCAAACAGGTCCTTTTCTGTTAAAGACCCTAACTTCATTAGAAAGTTTTGTCATTTTGTGCCTCGTATACTATTCATTACTGTTCATCGTCTTCTTCCTTAGATCTCTGATTTGGTTTTCGACGACTTTTCTTCTTCCTTTTCTCTTTCATCTTCATCTTCTTATACTCAAAACTTCATCTTCTTGTCACATTTTTAAAAACTGATCCTCAAATCCCAAACCATAAACAAATCAACTTTTTAAATACATATTTTCTATCTCTGACATTATGTCTGTCATAGTAGGAACATGAACCACCCTATGATTTGCAGTAAGAGTGGGAGAGTCATCATGCCTCATCACTTTGTGCTTGTTTTTAAGGCCATTGGCTTTAGAAAACACAGAACCCTGCACTGTCTTCTCTAGGATTCAGTATTTAGGAAAATGACTATTGAAAAATGCTTGCGTGAGTTACAAGAACATATCAACAACTACCATTTGAGGTAAGTATGAAATGTTCTTGTTCTACAAACACAACAAGAAAAATTGTATTTAGCAACCGACAAAATCGGTGGCTAAAATATAAAAATTGGTTGCAAAATTTTTTAGCCACTAAAATAGCCACCGATAATCGGTGGCTAATATGTTGGTTGCAAACACATTTAGTGACCAAAAATGCATTTGATTGCAAAAATTTGAATTTAGCAACTGAAAAATATCGGTCGTTATTTACCACCATCAAGTTGGTAGCTATTTCAGTTGCTAACTGTGACCACTAAATTCAGTTGCTAATTGCAACGCCAAATTTTGATAGCTAATATGGTTGCTAATTGGTTGTATTCTGCTTGGTAGTTAATTCGGTTGCAATTTTGTGTCTACCTTTTTCATTGCTATTTTGTTGGCTAAATCTCATCAAATATTTGGTTGCTAAATTGGTCGCAAAGACGGTGGCTAAATTTGGTGGCTAATTATAATGAATAATTTTACTTTTTTAAAAAAACTTTTTCAACAAGACCTATTTATATAACAAAACATGCTTACATAAGATATAATATTTAACAAAACCTGCTAATAGTCAGATTTTACAAACACAGTAAAAAAATACATCTAAAGAAGTAAAATACATCTTACAGTCCATAACAATATATATTTCACTCCATAACAAAAGTGTAGCTCATTTTATAAGAATGGTACAATCATTGACATAACAAATAGAAAAAAAAAAGTCTTAAATTATAAATGTGGATCAATGTCATCATGAGGAGAACCAACATCATCAGCGTCAACATGAGAATCATCCATTTGGGTATTGGTAGAAATTTTCAAGTGTTTAATAACTTGTTGGAGAATGCTCTCTATTTTCTTTAGTTTTGAATTGGTCCTTTGTAATTCAGACTACATAGTATCAATGCGTGTGTCCTTTGCTGCTAATTCTACATTAAGGTTGGCAGTGATCTGCTGATAGTTAATGCTAGAACTACGATTAGACTGAGTACAAGGAAAGGATGACATCACAAACTCTTCACCCAATTGTCCTAACCCATACACATGACCTTTCTTGTTTTTTCCTCCAACAACTTCTAAAAAAATGGCATTATCAGCAGCTATAGAATGGTCACTTGAGGCACATTCTTCACCATGATCATCATTGTCATGTGCATGGGTTTTAGTTCGACGTCGAATAAACTCATCCTAAAAAATTAATACTCTTATTAGTCATAATTTATAATAAAAGTGAGGCTAAAATTTTAAAAAAATAATATTTAGAAAGATATATACTGTAATGTTTTTAGCTTTGTCATTGAGCTATTCTCCAGCTTTATTCTTTTTTGTCTTTTCCATTATATCAAATGTTGTGGAAACTCGCTTATGTTGCTCAATCTGCATAATATTTCAAGTGTTAAGTTCCAATGAAGGAAATTATTGTAAAAACAAAAAGACAATTTAAATAATTACCATTCTATCGCGATGTATAGCAGCAAATACAGAGTCACTGGTATATAAAGATGCTCCACCATTTACAACTCTATTTTGTTTAGCAATAGTACTTTTCTTCTTAAACTCTTCTCCTCTCCAATAAGTGTGCAGCTCTTCTTTCACATCAGGAGTGATCTAAAGGCCCTTATCTTTACCCCTTCGTAACTTAGCCATTATGTTCTTTAAAATCACGGAGCCTTTATGCTCAAAAATGAATATAATGATAAGATTATGTTGAGAGAGTCATTTGTATGTTCTCTACAAATAAAAAAAAATCAAACAAAAGTATATAATAACATATATAGAAGTCATTTACATAACACAATGACTTTAAATATGTTACCTTAAACTCTTCAAACCACATATTCCTCACTTCTTATGGCATCTTGGTTCAAGTAGGCCATGAACTATTAAACTTAGACTTGATTATTTTGGAAATAACCTTCAAAGGACCATCTGAAGGTAGATAACTATTGAAAAAAAAAATCATAGAATTAGATAATTATAAAGAAATTTTTTTGATATAATATGTGTATAAATAAACTAACTTACTCATGTTTGGCTCTTAGGACAAGCCATATCTTCTTATCAGTGGAATTTGTAGTTCCAAGAACTGGTAACAATGAAGTCATACATTACTTTGACAATAATTCTCTTGAAGAAGGCTGTGTGATGGTAGGAGTAGTCATGCCCCCCAAATTTTGAGGAATAGATAGAATTGATTCAACATCCCAGGTGTTTACGGTGAAAAATGACAATTGTAAACAAATAATCCAAAGATCAATCTGGAGATTGGATTTAGGTCCTCTTTGGGTTCTTTTAAGTGTGTTGTTAATGTAACGGTGAAATGGACACGTAAATTCAGTAATTTAGCAAGAATAGTGAATATTAAACGTGCAGAATTGACTCAAACGCAGAGGTTCATTACAGAAAAATATGAAATAAGAAATGAATTGCAGAAACAAGAACAAAAGCACATAAACGAAGAAACTTGAATTGGAATGCAGAATGTAAAGGTACAGGAATGTAAATATGCTGAAATGTAAACGTACGA